AAGACCAAAGACCTTGAGTAGACATTTCTCCAAATAGATTATAGAACTGTATAACAATATAAGGAAAGTTTCTCAGGAACAGAAAAATGCAAGAAGAAACTATGTTGCCACTTAAAAATCCTATTATGATGACAACACTATAAAAACCAAAATATCAAAATAGAATCGAAACCAAGTTAAAGTAAATGTTGAGGATTTGGAGAAATTAGAACCCTCCTGCATTGGTAGAGCCACTGTGGAAGCAGTTTGTGGTACCCTAGTTGGTGAGACACAGAAATACCATATGACCCAGAAAGTTTGCTCCCAATATTATGCCCCCAGATTCAAAGCAGGTACCAAAATACATACTGGCATGGATGTGCATGGAAGCATCATTCACAGCGGTGAAAAGAAAAACAACCCCCAAATATCTCGGTGGATGAACAGATTAAAAAACATGATGCATTCAAACAAGAGAACCACATTCACCTGCATTCACCTGCAAACAGAAAAGAAATATGGATACAAGCTACATAATATACAAACCTTGCAAACACCTGAAGTGAGGGGTCAAACACCAAAGGCCACAAATGTATCATCCATCTCATTTATACAATACCCAGAATAGGCAAGTCCAGAGAGACAGCAGAGACTGAGGGGGCAGGGAATGGGGAGTCACTGCTTCAAAGGGTTTTTTTTTGGTTGATGAGAATCTAGAACTGGGGAGTGGTGGTTCACAGCATCATGACTGTCCAGAAAGCCACAGAATTCTTCACTTTAAAATCCCTAAGACAGGGCTGGAGATGTGGCTCAAGTGGTAGCGTGCTTGCCTAGCATGCGTGAGGCACTGGGTTCTATTCTCAGCACCACATAAATGTAAAATAAAGATATTGTGTCCACGTAAAACAAAAAAATAAATACTTAAAATAAAATAAAATAAAATCATGAAAACAGTGAATGTTTTTCCAAGGGTATTTTACCCCACTGTGTGGTGAGGACCTGCAGGGTATGTTGGCCCATTCTCCCGTAGACTTTGCTAGATATTTTGGTGGTGGGGCAGGTGGCGAGGCAAGGGCGGTTGGGAAGAGGTTGTTGCCACTGGGTAATTTAGATGATGATTTGGACATTTGACCCTTGAAGGGACTGTAGCTATGCACAGCATCTTGTCTGTTAGCACGTCCTATACAAAGAGCATCATGAAATTAAATTGTTAGCATCAGTGCTTCTCAAGATTTGAAATGAAGGAACAGTAGGAAAAAATGCAAGAAATTTGGATGCTTAATTTTATGAAAGGTAAGAGGAATTCTAGAAATTGGAATATAGCAAAGACATAAAAAATAAAAAGCAAGACCCCTTAGGAGGGGCTTGGGTGGCAAGGCAGCAGCAATTTTTGTGAGAGTGTCTAGTGTTGCAGTGTTTGCCCTGGTACCTATGGGTGGGCAGAGAACACTGAGCCAGTACTGTGAGATGGACAGCTGGCTTGGAGTGGCACCATTTTAGACCCAAGCAGAGGGTTTGCGTGACCAAGGTCTAGTGAGGAATAAACATGACCAGAGTCCATGGTGAAATTCAGGACATGTGAATACCCTGTCACATGTCCTGAATGACTAGCAGACACCAGGACTAAGTCCAGCATCAGCTGTGTGTTTTCCTTGTTACTCTGTTTCGGAACATGGTGTCGAGTCTCTTCTGCACACATGTGACAACTCACAGTGGTTGTCCTGAAATGTTCCCAGATTTCCACAGACATTAGAAGTCCTGAGTCACAGGGGACCCTTTAGTTCCCAGCAAGTGGGACACCTGGTCATTGTTACAGGAGCCACTGAAGCTGGCCATCATCATCAGGAAGGTCAGTGACAAGAAGCCTTCAGGGAATCATCACTCTTCTACCTTTTGCTCTAAGTGGTGACAAGTTCCTTCCAAGCAGACACCAGCCTAGGAAATAGAGTCATCTTGTCCTGGAGATATTGCCAGAAGGTAGAGAAACGGACCCCAGGTGGCCCAACAGTGTGGGTTTCACCACTTCTTCCCTCATCAGGAGGGGGGCAGGTCATCACACTAATGGTGTCCCTGAGGCAGAGTGCTTCTGTCACCTCAGTGGGCCTGCAGCCAAGTCTCCTGTACTCCCAGCTCTGTGGAGGCCTCCAGCCTGCAAAAGCAGGGCAGAGGGGAGTTGTCTCCCAGGCCAGACTTTCCTTGCTAGACTTCCATTAATGTAGCAGGAACCTGAGAAGATCAACGTGGGAAAGGTCAGATGTGGACACCCGAGTCCCGATTGGTTGGCTCCGTTGCCTCTGGGCCTGTGGTGAGGAAGCACATTATGTGGGGGGCATGTGGTGGTACAGAGCTGTTCACCTGGTGGCCACTGGGCCATGAAAGAAAGGCAGGGAAGATATCCTCCAAGACACAAAGACCTCCCAGTAGGCCCCACTCTTGCAGTTTCCCCCACCTCAAGTGGTGCCACACTAGGGACCAGTCCTCAAACACATGGGCCTTTGGGGGCATTCCAGCTCTAGCCCAGAGCACCTTCTGTATGCAGTCTGTTTAGGGAGAGACCAGCTCTTCCACATCCCTCTGTGGAACCTGCTTTACCTCTTACTCATAATAAACATCGTCACTTTGGCCGTTTCGAGTCCTCGACCCACGCAAACTGGGTTTAAGTGGGTGGCTGCAACATTAAGCTGAGAAGGCAACAGCAAAAACCACACAACACAGAGATGATTTTCACATCAGGGGTGGGGAGGGTTTTTGACCTTAAGGGTCAGCTTCATGCTGGAAAAAGCGCTGGAAAGAGAGCCTGAGCCACTCCCTTATTTTATAGTGGGGACATCAGAGGCAGGAATAAGGTTTCCAGGATGGAGTCTTTCTTTGTGATGTCTTGTGGTCAGCAGACTGATTGCCATCTTGGCAAGTCATACCCATCTCAGGTGCTGTTCAGGGTTTTAGGTGGAGCTAGAGGAGGAGGCTCACCTGCATCATGTGATCAGTCCCTGACAGGGAGTTCCCAGTGCCAGACCTATCCCCTCATTTGGCTACTATGCACAATATTCCACACACACATCCCATGGATGGCTCGTGACAGCCGTCCAGTCTCTAAGATGGGTGAAGAAACATGCGGTAGGCCTTGAGGATCCTTCCTGGGAGCACCTCAATTGTTTTCTTTCCTGTGACACTTTGGTAACAGGTAGCCCAGGTGGAGTCTCCACTTGCCTTAGTGCTTACCTGTCTGCAGCTCTCTGAATCCTGGCATCAGAGGCTTATGTGCAGATTGCTGGTGTTTCTGCTCATTAGCTTCTCTCATCTTCAGTGTATGCTGAAACATGACACAGACTTCCAAGAAGCACATTACATTAAAGAAAAGCATGCATAAACTTGAAGTAAGGAGTGCAATATCAAATAGTGAGGGAGTGGTAAATCAAAACAGATGATAATACTGGTGAAATGAGAAAAAAAGTAGCATTAAGTAATCTGAAGTTAGTCTTTTTTAAGGTATTTGAGATGGAGGGATTTCTTGCTGTGCCTTCTATCTCTGGATTACGCAGGTATTGGGAGGCATAGTGGATACTCAAACCTCAGCTGTGTTACCTGTGTGTCTCTGGGCACAGAGGCAGCAACAGCATCAAACCTTTCAGCTGTATATTTAGTTCTCCCCTGCCCATGTGCTGTGCCGGTGGTGGTAATGGGATTCCCCTCGGTGGAATGGGCTGGCCGAGTACTATATGCTAAGAAAAATAGAGTGATGAAAAAAAACAACAGAATATAGGAGATATTTTTTAAAATTGGGGCAGGATGGGCTAGCCCATCACATGGATCGAGCTTCCACACTAAAAAGAAGAAAATGGAGCCTGCGCTTGCTTTCTTTATATGGGAGGACATCAAAGGCCTTCCATAGAATGTTCTTTACCCAATGCAGCTGAGTCCAGTACAACTAACTGTGCTTGTGTTCTTTCTCTGTGCAGGGCATGGTGTGGGTCCTGTGGGAGGAGGGTGAGAACATGAAGAATGTCTGTCCTGTGCGACAGGAGTGCTCAGTGGAGTGTGGGACACAAGCACACTGATCCCTGAGAGAGAACCATGGGTGGTGGGCGCATAGCAGAGGTCTGAATCTCTGGCTATACATGAAATCATTCAGAAAGCCAGAGGCATTCAGCATAATGGTGAGGCCAGCACTGAGTAGGTGATGACCTACTGCTCTGGAGGTGTCAAGGGAAAGTGAACTACCACAGATGGTAGCCACATAGGATCAAATCTCTGGAATGGGGATGGGAATGGGAATCGAAAAGACAGTAGAATGAATCAGAAGTAACTTTCCTATGTTCATATATGAATACATGACCAGTGTGCTCCACATCATGTACAACCACAAGAATGAAGTTATACTCCATGTATGTATGATTGTCAAAATATGTTCTACTGTCACATATAATTAAAAAAAAAACAAATAAGAAAAACGCCATTCTAATTCTAACCCAAACCCTAAACCTAACCCTACATATTGGCAAATATATACGTGTGTGTTGTGTGTGTGTGTGTGTGTGTGTGTATGTGTATATATTCATTTACACAAATATATGTATCCAAACTCATAGGGTAAACTTAATGTTAATTCTATACTGACACCTGAACATAACCATAAAAGTAATCCCTGGCATGGTCCATGGTGCTCTGAATTCTACTGTACCATTTTAGAGGCCTCAGAAGGTATAAGGGACGTGACTCAAAACAGAGTAGCAAGGAAGAGCATGAGAAGAAGATTATCACGAAATAAGGAAAAGAGGAGGGAGGGAAAGGGAGGGAGAAGGGGAAATGCACGGAAGACGGAAGGAGACCCTCATGGGTTCACAAAATACATATACGTTGTTGTGAGGGGGAAGGGAAGGGAAAAAAAAGAGAGAGAGAGATAAGTGTCACAGTAGTATGGGTTGACAATAGGGATGGGAGGGGAGGGGAGGGGAGGGGGGATAGGGAGGGCAGCAGAATACAACTGACCCTATGATTGCTGTATGTATCACATGGATATATAACCAATGTGATCCTGCAATCTGTACATGTGGAAAAATGACAATTCATACCCTATTTGAATCAAATGTATGATATGTCAAGATCATTGTATTGTCTTGAACAGCTAATAAAAATAAATAAAATTTAAAAAAGAATATAACACAAGCTTATCATATTATCTTGTGAAAGAATATTCTGTTGTGTTATCTTCAATTATTAAAACTTTTGGTTAATATGCATCCTAACAAAAAAAAAGTTTGGAAGGTTTGGAAATGGATCATGAATCCTTGGTTAATCAGAACTGAAAATGTAGAAAGGTTGATGTAGGGCAGTGTTGTTTGTGAATAAAGCTCGTGCCACTGAGAAGGACTGAGGACCTTCAGTGTTTCCTTTGAAGCTGGGTAGCCAATATCTTTCTGAGAAAAGAGCCTTTGGCAATCTGAAGATACAACCAAATTTTGCTTCTGGAAAAAATACCCCAATTCAGCCTCTATTCATATTTACTTTCCTTTCATCTTTTTGAGTTGTAAAGTCCAAAGTCATTGCTCTATATTGTGTTTCTATTCTCACATGGCTGTATGAGGTGTGATTTTCCCCTGACATTATGATAAGCTATTCTTCTCTGGAAAGGATACCCATCGGGTATGTAGACACTGGTCACTCATTAATCATTGCTTATCTGAGTGAATCATTGACAGTGTATAATCATTTTTATGAATTGATGAATGCAGGATTACTGTTGTATATAAAATGCTTGTACTTCCGCCTACTGTATCCCTTGAGCTTTGTGTCCAAGCAGCTGGATTGCAGGGGCTCAGCTATCCCATGGCTCCTGGTCTTTTGCCTGCTGCCCTTCCTCTGTGTGTGTGTGTACTGCTGGCATGTGGCTCTGCCCAGGCAGGCAAGCTGCTGGTGGTGCCCATGGATGGCAGCCACTGGTTTACCATGCGGTCAGTTGTGGAGAAACTCGTCCACAGAGGGCATGAAGTGGTTGCTGTCATGCCAGAGGTGAGTTGGCAACTGGGACAGTCATTGAATTTTACAGTAAAGACTTATTCAACTTCTTACAGTTTGGAGGACTTGGAACATGAGTTTAAAGTTTTTGCTGAGACTCAAATGAAAAAATCAGATGAAAGTTTATTGTCTGCATTATTGGATTCATACAATGGGTTTTTTGAACTACATTTTACCCATTGTAGGAGTTTGTTTAATGACAAGAAGTTAGTAGAATACTTACAGGAGAGCTCTTTTGATGCAGTGTTTATGGATCCTTTTGACATGTGTGGTCTAATTATTGCCAAGTACTTTTCACTCCCATCTGTGGTCTTCACCAGGGGAGTGTTCTGCCATTACCTTGAAGAAGGTGCTCAGTGCCCCAGTCCTCTGTCCTACATTCCCAGATTTTTTTTTCACTTTAAACAAGAATGTTTTTTATTTGTACAAAGCATTATAATCTTTAAAACAGTCTTCGTTTACCAATAAACTTTCCATTGCATTCATTTAACAAATTAATGGTATATTAATTTGTTACTACCTTGTCAAATCCCAAACACTCAACTGAGACAAAAAAAAATGCTTTGAAGCACTGAATGGAAAGAGAAAAGGCTAAGAAAGGCCAACAGAGATATTTTAGAAGAAGTTAAGGGGAATTTTTTTGGGTGGGGGTGGGAGATTAAATTCATGAGCACCATCAGATTTCCCTTAAGGTTCAGAGTTTATCAAAGAAAAATATTAAGATGTGAAATTAGAACTAAGAAATATAAGAAACCTGCACTTTGGGATATTAAGCAGGTAATCAGAATTCCTAGATTGTGGATGAAGTTAAGTGAAAAAGGGAAAGAAAGTAGAGAAGAGTCAGAAGAGATAGAAAAAGGGGAAAAAGATGTGCCTAGAGGGAATTAAGTCTGAAATTCATAATGAATTAAAGAATGAAAAGACAAAGACACAGTCTGGGAGATGAAGTGTAAAAAGAGAAAGCCTGGGGGGTTCTGCACCTTCCAGGAGGTGACATTAAATACTAACACTGTACAGTAGTAAATAGTGAGGGACAACTAACACTATGCCATCTGTCTTAAATAAGTAAATAAGTCCCTGCTGGACTAACTCCAATCAATACTGATTTAAAAGCATATGTGCCCAGAGTATAGCCATTCTATAGGCTGTATGTCTACAAGCAATCTAAAAGGACTGAAAGCCAAGTGGGATTAGAGGAAATGAAACTCAAATTAATGCAACTGTCAAGTGATGAGATTACAGAGTTCATTATTCTCCCATAGCCTTTTAGTAGTTTTTTTTAAAGCTAAACCATCCTGATCATTCTTAATAAGGTACTATTGCCAAATACTGTTACAAATAGACTGACCAATTTTTCCTGAGCCTTGACTGCCTCTGTAATATGGAACATGGCAGGTAGCATGGAAGTTATTACTTTTGTGGAGGGGCAAAAAGACTTGGGATCAAAAACTACCTAGCCATACATGTAAGTAAACAAGATATATTAATTCGACTGATTAGGCATTCAGAATCCCTTACAAAAAGTCAAAACCTTCAGACTGATTAAGCAAAACAGAATTCTGTCACTCAGATGCTCTGAGTCTGGAAAGCGCTGGTTTTGATGATAATTCTAGTCAGTTTTTATTTTGATCTTCTCAGGCAAACATCAAACTTTGCCTGCTCTGCTCAGCAGGGAAAAGCTTTGCATAAACATGTTCCACATTTCAGAGTGGTAGCTTCCACAGTGCCATGGCCTACCCTCCCTATTCAATTGTCTACGTCCTCTTCTTCGTTCTGTTCTTCTTCTTCCAGTCTTTCCTCATCTTCTTCATTGTCCTCATCCCTGCTCCTGTCTTGCTCTTCTGAGTCTGTTTTTTTGTCTTTGTCCTTCTTCTTTTGCTCTGAAGCTTCCTTCTTACCTTTCTGTTCCCGCCTATAAGCAGGATGTGGCGTACAGCACGAAGACACTGGCGGCGCGGGAGATGGCGCTCCGGGCCTCCTTGGAGATGTTGACACCGTCCGGGAGCGCCTCTTTAATGATCCTGGTGATGACAGCATTGGGCAGGTTTAAGTCCTCTGGCCTCTCCGCCATTGCCACGGCCGGGGCCGAAGCTGCTTCAGCCTCAGGCCTCTTCTTCAGGCAGCTCCATTCCCAGATTTTTAATGAGGTTCTCAGATGTCATGACTTTTAAGCAGAGAGTAGAGAACCTTATAAACCACTTGGGGGAGCGTTTATTTTGCCCATATTTCTTGAAAACCACCTTGGAAATCGCCTCTGAAACTTTCCAAGCCCCTGTCACACCATATGATCTCTTCAGCCAAGTATCCATTTGGTTGCTGCGAACTGACTTTGTTTTGGACTATCCCAGACCTGTGATGCCCAACATGATCTTCATTGGTGGAATCAACTGTCACCAGGGGAAGTCACTGGCCAAGATACGTGTGTCTCCCTTAGCACACGGAGGGAACCCTGGCTTTGGGTGTTAAGAAAGATTCCATCCTGAGTTGTGATTCTTTATTAATATCCACTGTATTTGGAATTTTTTTCTGGGTTAACAATTGTTTTGTTTCTATTCATTAACTGTGGGTTAGCAAGTTTTATAAAGCTGTCCTCATTGATATTTATGTGCATATCAGTGATGGGATTTGTGTCATTTCTAAGCTCAATTTCTAAATCTGCCATAGAAAAACCCCAAGAAACACCTGCGAGATATTCCTTTTTGCCAGTTGTATAGGAAAGTGTTCTGAGCAGTTTTGTATGCATACTTTTCTTTTTTTGAAATTATTTTATATGTATTCATGTATGTAAAGCAAACCTTACACATATTTTATTAAGTAATATCTAATAATGGAGCTGCGGTTGTGGCTCAGCAGTAGAGTGCTCTCCTAGCATGTGCAAGATGCTGTGTTCTATCCTAAGTAGAGTGCTCGCCTAGCACGTGCGAGGTGCTGTGTTCAATCCTAAGCATAATATAAAAATGGATAAATAAAAATAAAGGCTTTAAAATATAAATAAGTAATATCTAATAATAAAGTGTACATGAGTTCTTTACTTTGTATTTCACTTGGCAATGTATTGTAGTCATGCTCACAATCTAATACTTATAATGTGTTCATTTAGTAATTGCATTGAAAGCTTTAAACAGTTTTTCTTTTGAATCAACCAATAGTGATAGATATTTAAACTTTTTCCACATCTTTGAACAAGACTATAAACCTCATTGTAAATGTGTAAAACACATTCCTTTATTTTTTCTTCCACATCATGTTTTATTTTTTCAACTCTTCTAGAATATTTTCTGTCGCGACCCCTCGCCGGCAAGGGAAAACACGACACAGGATTCTTCTTCCAGCAGTTTATTCAGGCCTTGATTCATGTATCATCTTCTAGTGACCCCCCGCCGAGCGCCCAAGCATAGCCTAATAAAGCTTACTCAAGTCCAATCCAAAGCTGCCACGCGGGGTTTTCTCATAGGGTGCTGAGGGACAGCGCGCCAACTCTTCCTAATAAGGAGTTGTTTACCAAGATCCACAACGGAGACCGGCACCATCTTCTAATGGCGGCAGCGGTCTACAAACACGGCTCACCACAGTTCCCCCTTATCTCTTAAAAAACAATGCAGGCGAAAGTAGAGGTCCTATCCCACTGTGCAAACATGGCTGCAATGTATGGCTCAGTCCTAAGGAGGCGCCTTCCCTAGATCTGACACCATATCAGCCGACGCCTTTTTTCGTGGGACGGGGCGTGGACGCCAAACCCGTATGCAATAGGACATGCTTCCCTTGAGGTCCGGAGATCGGATCACTCAAGTGCAGTGCCTTGCCTCGCATCCTGCATCGTGCTGACGGTGAAAAAGAAAGGGGATTTTACAAGTAGCCGGTCAGTGACTATGGGGTTGGAAGTGGCAACACCATCTCTCAGCCCCTGAGAAAACGAAGGGTCCAAAGCATAAAGTGCAGCGCCAGCATGGAAGCCCACCTGCGTGCAATGGCAACAAGGCCTGCAGAGTGCATGGGCCTTCCATAACTGGGAAAGCAGGAAGAGGAGGGCATGCCAATCCCAGTGCAATGTCAAAAATAACTTGGGGTGCAACGGCCAAAACCCAGGAAATTATTGCTTAAGTTGCGCAAGCCAAACTTGTGGAGAGATACCATTCTCTAGGGCTGCAAAAGCCTGGACGATCATAGCCTTTTCTTGGCTATGGCGAGCTCTTAGGCGACAGAAAAGCCACAGACAAAGGACAACCCCAAAACAACACACCGCTCCAAAAATGCCTACTCCCACCCATTCCTTAAAGAAAGAAAAAGCAGAAGACAACCAATTCGTAAATTGGCCCAATGTCACAGGGTCCACACGAGTGTTGTTCAACATGGCAATTTGTGTCAGTTGGGTCTGGATCAACTTCTCTGCTTCCATGGACCAGTTTCCGGCCAGGTACTGTCCGATGATTTGAGAGGTATTTCTGGAATCATTAAATCTGAGAGATGTTATACATAGATGTGCACGATGATCAACACAACCCAAATGTACTAGGTCTGACAATTCCTCAACTTGAGCTTGAAGCAGATCTATCCTTTGATTAGCAGCCAAAATCCCAGATAGAATGTGTTGATTAATTCTACTTTGAGATTCAAGTATGGTGGATGTTGAATAACCTGATTAATAGTGGCAGCAGTTTGAACCTGGCTGGCCATGGCTACTCCAGCTGTAACTGTTGAAGCAGCAGACACTGCCACAGCTGTCACTATAGCTGCTGTAATTCCAAAATCCCTACGGCTCCTGAGCACCTCAATAATAGGGAAGGAGTCCGGATCCGCAGTAACCGGAATCGGGACGAAAGTTGGGACTTTCATAACAACTGCCGTGCTCCAGGATCCATTCCAATACTCAGACAAGACACATGTACAATTAGAACAGTCAATCATTTCTGATCCTGTAGTATTGGTATCATTGGTCAAAAGGAACAGAAACGGAGAATGAAGGCAGACTGCTGCAGAGGGCAGTGTGGCATTGGACACCTGAGAATTGTATGAAATGTTTTTAAGCCTCCTACCATTACCAGTGTCCTGTACAGAGCCAGACACATTAAACAGCCAGCTTTGGACTCCTCGTAATTGAGCCAAAGCAGAGATGTCGGCTGTGGCCCCCTTTTCATTGGAAATCAACCATTGAAACCAGGACCAACCCGCTCCTATAGAGGAATAATTGTTGGAAGAATTATACAAGTACCTTTTGAGAGAGGGGGAAAGGGAAAAACCTTTGGCGACCTGATGTTTCTCCCAAGAGTGATCTTGACAAGGTGTAAATGTAGGAGGGAAGCCATACTCAGGGGTGCAATAAGGAGAAGCCTTAAAATGAGTGGCATTAGAGGTCTCATTAGAAGGAGACAACGGAATTAACACCTGGGAAGTAATGGCCAAAGTGGTTATATTAAACTCAGATGTATTTGTCGGGACTCTTCTTGTCAGGCGTTCTGGAACCCACACCGGCTCCGTCCTGTCCCGGCCCCCGGCGGCGCTCTGCTTTCTCTGCAGCGTGAGCCCGCTCCGCAGCAGTGCAGGCAGGTCCTTCAGCCGCGGCCGCAGCGACGCCGGCGGCTGCTCGCGCTCCGGCTCGCGGGCTCTGGGACTGCGGCGCAGAGCGCTGTCCGCCGCCGCCACCGCCGCAGCCAGGGCCGGGTTCTCGCACGGCGGCTGCATCTTGACTGAGCCCACCGCCATCTTCATGCCCAGACCGCGGCCGCGGCCCCGGCAGCTTCTCTCAAAAACATCTGCAAAGTGCTCTGCTTTACCTTAAGTCCTTTTGAACGTAGCAACCCATCTAGGGCCAACAAAATTGGGCTTGAAGAAGTAGCGACCATAATGTTTTTAGAACTATAAAGAAAGTGAAGGTACAAAAATCCCCGCTCTCTTCCTTTTACAGGGGAGCGTTCTGTTCTATGAATTCCCCGCTCTCTTCCTTTTACAGGGGAGCGTCCTTTTTCCCGCTCTCTCTCTATTTACAGAGAGAGCGCCCCGCTATTTGCTTGCGGATTCCCACTTTACCTGGGAACTTACCGGTGCACCACCCTGACTGCTGAAAGTTCTGGATCCTGGGTTCGAGGAATATAATTCCCCATCCGGGCCACCAACTGTCGCGACCCCTCGC